TTGCTGAACTTACATTGTATGGCGGGCAGCCCAAGGTATTTGCCAAGTTACTTGTTTTCAAAAGAATTGACCTCTTTTTCCACACCAAAAATAAAATAGCAGGAAGAGCAGCTGGTATCTCTAGTAGTAAAATACTCACATAACCTGCTAAAGAAATCGTGGGTGTTTGTTGACATTCTAACGCTCTAATAAAAAATTAAATATACTCAGTGGTCTTGTAATGTGAAAATCAATCTGCAAGCCTACAGTAGATGTCATGTAACATCAAGATGACGCTGAAGTATTACTTAGACCCTGTAGGCACTTAGTACTTGTTTGAGATGAGAACCAAGTGAAATGTTCATTTATTGTTATGCTTGGGGAGCACTGTGGAAGAATCACTGTATGGCTTCAAAACGGGGTTAAAAAGAACGCAGCAAATGTCTTAGTGTGCTTCACTGTCAGAAAAGAGTAGGAGCAGAGATAGTTACAAAACGCTTTCTCATGCTTTCCAGTTGATTCTTTTTCCCTTTGGTTGCTCCTCAGAAATGGGGTGGTTATAAAGCAACAGCAAAACTCTGTGTCTGTTGGTAATTTAATTCTGTGAGAGGCTAAAATCTGAGAGGGAAGAGGTGCCCATATTGCATTAATACCTAACTAAGTGCATAACTGGAGGCAGACAGAGCACAGGCTTGTGAGCCTGTTGCTTGATAAATGAAGGGAAACCACTGGATCTGCCACGGGATTGGTCTCCTGATTCATTTTTTTGTTTAGTCTGGCTATGGAAGGTAAAAGGTAAAATTATGCCCTGCTTCTGATTGCAGGTTTATGATAGTTAATTGCATTGTGCTTGATCTTAACGAGGAAGTGCCATTAGTTACAGTATCCTTGCTGAGGAGCTTCAGGCGGTGGCGAGTCCAAGCTGCAGAGGCTCTTGCCAGCTGGACCGCTGTTTGTCTCAATTACTGTGCATTCCATTCATGGACCTGCAAAGCAGCCAGGATAAAAACGTGTCTGTGTCCTGATTGTTTGAGCTCTTAGCAAGTGGTTTTGGACTGCGTGTAGACTTTCGAGAGAATAATAATTCAACTTGTTTAAAACGCTTTGCAGAATCTTATCTCTTCCTCTTTTTCGCAGCTTTCTCTTCCAGTCTTGAAAACGCTTTATATCGGAACTGTTGAAATTTGTAGCTGCCTTTTTGTTTTTTCCTTGTGGTAGTGATAGCACATTAAGCACATGTTAAGCTTCCTCGTTTAAGTTTATCCTTGAGTTTTCTACTATATGCCTCTTGACAATTTAAGATGAACTGCAGATACTAAAGACTCCCACTTGGATAAATAGGAGCTTTGCCATTGGTTCCCCCGGAGATAGGATTAAGTCCTGGATAGATGTATATAATGTGTTGTAACACATGCTAATATGCTTCCTGCCTGAACAAATGCAGTTCTGAACTTCTGAAGCTTATCCCTGATTCTCTGTGACACAAATGCTACTATCTGATCAACTGGCAATTGAAATTCCCTTTGGTACTTTATGATGATCTTAGTGTTAATTTGTTGGGAATAAAAACAGCAGCCCTGCAATAGGATTGATCAATTGACTCCCAGTCACTGGTGTTAAATCACTCTGGAATACAAATGGAAATGCATTAAATCCACGTAAGCACCTCATGAATTCATAATGTGTAGGTGCTGTCACCATGATAACAATTTTATCTGAAATCTTAAAGACCTTACAGGGGCAGTCAAGGCTCTTAGGAGTCCACAAGCATGATAAATATTATTGAGGTTTTTCATTCAAATCCCATTTAGGCTTTGTCTAAATGACTGTGGACAAAGGGGAGGAAAACCAGACCCAGTATAAAATTTTATAAGGATTTTAGCTTTATGATGTACTACTTGAACCTCTCAGTTATTGCTGATTATATGCTAAAAAATACTTTTTCTTCAGCTTGGAATTTACTGCAGATGAAGTCAGGATTTCAAAGGAAAAGCCAAAGTAAACACTGCTTACTGTAAAATTTTAGTTTATCTGACTCTTGCTCTGCAAGGAAGCGCACTCTGTACTGCTGTAGTTTTAAAAACCTGCAGTCATGCCTGTGTGTGTGTGTGTGTGTGTGTGTGTGTGTGTGTACCCTAAGTTCTAGACTGGAGTCCTTTTAAAATCCTCTTTGACAAAGGCAGCTCAGCAGTCAACTGGAAGTGCTCAGTGGCTTGTGCTGGTGTCTGACTAGCTTGAACTTGTGCGAGTTGTAGAACATAAACCAGCACAGCCATTCTGTCTTAACCTTCAGATTTAGCCACAGCAAAATGAAGCAGCAAACAGAAAGCAGGAGTCAGTAAACGGAGCACTGATTTTTACCTACTAACTATGTGCGTTGCTAATATCCTTCTAATGCACTTAAAAGGCAGAGTAATAGGGATCAAGGTCAGAGCTGGGCAGGCTAGAAAGTCCCAGGCCTTTATCAGAAAAAGCTGGTGAATGTGTCATTCTCATCTTCATCCTTTTCCTGCCGTTTATCCTAAGACAAATAAAATGCTGGACTTTTGATGACAGCAAGCCCCAAGTATTGTGCTTTTGACTTTAATGAGGAAAGGGTGACAAAGTGCAACCTTCAGCACGTGCTGCCTGTCCTTTTGCCAATTTGCAAGCACCATTAGTAAAATTTATTTATGTTGGTTTATTGTAGTTTGAGCGCAGCAGATTACCTCAAAGCAGCTTATACTTGGTTGCTGTGACCCCTTGAAGGCCAGACACCTGCAGCTCTAATTCCCTGGCCCTCTTTTCAGTTAGTGTTAGCATTTTATCTGGTGTGAACCAAGAGAAAGCAAGTAAAGCCTCTGTCCATTGAGCAGTGACCTTGTTCAATTAAGCAGGTATCCTGCACATCTGTTGTAGGCAGCACTTGCGGCCCTCTGCTACCACAGCTTGATAGGAATGTGCATTACCTCTAGAGGATCGGATCTGGAGCAACTAAATCATCAGCACAAGGACATTTCAATGAGAAAATGAATAATTCCTTACTCTGATTATGATGATTAATGCTGTTATGTCAGCAGCCCTTGGCACAGCCAGTGACAGCAGCCGTTCTTATATGGAAAAGATCTGATTCCAGAGCCAAGAACCTTAAAGGGAATTTTGTACTGTGAAGTAATAAAATAATATTAGCAAATGATGCAAAAGCAACTATAATTTAAAGTACAACCATAAAAAATGCACATCCTTTCTTCAAACCCATGACTGTGTAGTAACGTGTAACTGTTTTGCATTTGAAAACAGTCGGGATAAACTGTCAGTGTTTCTGGAATTGACCACTGACAGATGGACTCAGCTATAGAGGTTTCTGGACTGCATGAAGCTGAGCACAGATTCAGTCAGAGGTGCCAGTTTCATAAATCAGCAATCACTGTCGCAGTGGCTGGCATCCCCCTTCCCTCACTCGAAGTGTGGATATGCAAAAGGTTAATTAAAGCACCGAGCAGCTACATAATTTAAGGTGGGTCGGTCTTCCCTCGCTTCTGAAACTAGGTGGCCCTAGTGTTGGTTTCATTTGTCAGAGGGGTCATGGCTTTCGGGTGTTGCATTAACCGGCTTCGTCGCTGGCTCTGCAAGTGAGTGCTGCTCAGGCTGTTGCCCTCTCCACGCTGTTTTCTTGCCTGCAGCTATCATAACCAAGTTGCACTCTGTGGCAGTTTTTCTACCTTGGATGTGTTCCAGCTCCTACGTCTCTTACTCATTTGGTAGGAGAGGTGTTTCGGAGGGAAGTACCAGTCTTGTTTTGTTAGGATATATTCATTTGACAATCACAGCATCATTAAAAGTTATTCTCAACAGGCTATGCACTGCCAACATTTAACCTTTAGCTGATAAAAAACAATAGCGAGAGCCCTGCAGAGGCAGACCATTCTGTAACCAGTTCAGATATTTCTGGCAGATAATAAGAAATAGCATTCTTGAACTTAAGCATGGCATTTGGAAAGTCTGTGTTCTAGTGTCTGCTAAGCTCAAGTAATGCTCGAGGTGGCTGTCATAGTATCCAGCTGTGTCAGCTGCTATTGTCACAATCCTCTCAATATTTCCCTGCAGGAAAGTGCAAAATGCTACCAACTGTATTCGTGGATTAGTAATTAATAGACGTTGATTTTTTTGAAGCCAGTATTGGGTATTTCTGCAAATGCCTTTCCGTCAGCCTACCAGTCTTGTACTACTGGCTTACTTGTCTTGAACCAGCATGTTTGTGTGGGGTGATGTTGGCACCCAACCCACCTTTGTATTTTCTTGTCTATTCACACAAAGGGCCGATTCCTTGAAGAATTTTTGGTTTTCTGGTATTATATGCAAGGAGAGGAGCTGAAGGCTAGGCACAGAAGAGACCAGTTTCCTTTTGATGTAAAGAGAAACTGTCTGACAGAATGTAGTGGCAGAAAGGATAATTAATTGCAATATTGTTGCAATATTAATGTTGCAATTGTTACTGCAATAATAACATTGATGTACCAAGGGTGCACTAGTATGACTGTATATAAACTCAGTGATTAATATTTAATACTAAAAAATTCTGGAAATGCTCTGTTCAAGTGCATGGAAAACAATATTGATCTGCCTTGCCTAGATAAACAAAGAAGCTACTTTAGTGAAAATTTACATATTGTGTATGATTATGTGCTTTCAAGTTATTCAGAACAAACCACTATTTATGAAAATTCAAGAGAGAATGCAGTTGATTTTTACTGTGCAGACCAACAAAAAAGAAGTCAGCAACCCACCACTATATTAGGCTTAGAAGTTCAGTTAACAAAATTACCATAAAAATAACTTAATTTCTGATGAGCAGTTGGAAACAAATTGTCCTGCTCTCCTATATTCCTGTGGGAGGGATTTGACTGAGGGGGTTAGAGGGGTGTATGCTTTGACCTGTTATACTCAGTAACTTGGGGACAACAAAACTTGAGTTGCTTAGGGGGATAAAGCCATCTCTGGTTTTTAACCCTGCAACTCTGTACCAGTACAGCTTGCTTGGAATTACTACCTAAATCCCACACTCTTGATTCTCAAACTTGATATGCAAGTACCCAATAGAGCTATTCTACTGGCACATACACAAGTCAAAAATGAAGCATATACTCAACTCCTTCCACATGTTTTAGCTCCCCAGAAGATTAAGCTTAATCTTCAGGTTCCTCATAATGTGCATACCCACTAGCGTAGGTCCTTCCTAAACTTAAACTGCTGAATACATCTGTTGTCTCTGTATCAGAATCTTTCCCTCCTTCATCATTGTCATCCTCATCGTCCTCTGCTTCATACTCCTCGTATTCATCCTCACGGTCCCCTGCATCTCCAGCCTTGCTGCTGGAGAGGCTCTTCCAGTAGGCATCGTAACCAGAGGCTCCATCTGCATCTTCACCGCCGGCCTGGCGGCCAAACTTCAGGGAGCGCGCTGCACACAGAGGAGAGCATCGTGTTGGCACCTGCTCAACAAGCACCTCACATCGCCAGCCCCTTTCGCTGACAGCATTTAGTGCTAGACTTCCGAAACCAACATTTTCAGGCTCGGAACCTTCCCACTACATTCCCTCTCCCCGTGCAGCCATGTTTGTATTAACAACTGCTGCCCAAGCAGGATTTTTTTCGCTTAAGGATATACCTTTGTTACTCTATCCAAGAAGATCTATAACTGGACATGCTATGCAGATATAGCATATATATTCCAGTTTATTAAAGGAAGATTAATAGGTAAATTGTATGGATGTCATCAAATGATGCTTCTAGATTCATTAGCCTGCTTCTTGTCGATTGAAAAAAAAAAAAAAAAAAGGCTTAAATAGTGACTGCACGCAATTCTTTGATAACTAAAATATGAAACTAGATAAAGATTTCATTATCAGCATCAGATAATGATTAAGAAAGAGTCTAGTCAATTCTAGAACTAATTAAGACAAAAATTCTCCCCAAATAAATGCAGCAAAGCTTTGCAAAACAATTGAAAGCAAGAATAAATAATAATAAATTAGCAATTTACTCAATGTTCCCATGCAGCAAAGCAGTTATTAGTGGTGCCAGCTTGATGCCACTCCTATGAAATCAGCTTTCTAGCTAGAGAAGCAGTCTTACTTGACATGCTGAGATCCTTTGTCTGCTGAGTTTCATGTCCACATTTCGGGCAGGGAGGCTCTTTTCCCTTTTCCTGCTTAAAAACCTTACTTCGCACATGATCATCACAAAAACAAGCCTGTGGGATGAAAGGAGAATGACAAGGCCAAACATTTTAATCACAACAGAATACTCTTCAAGAAGCAATAAAAAAAAATCTAACAGCAATAGAATTTTCTGGTTGAGATTAAAATTAATGAGCTCTAACTGCAGGGGACCTGGAGTCTGTATGTTACGCACAGAGCAACTACTTCTGTGTTGACTATAGTTTCATGGTTACTTGGAGAAGAGGCTGCATAATGGCGCCGATAAACCATTAGGGGAAATATAACATATTCAAGGGCTGGGTGTTACTGCTGGCCACAAGGGGTCTGGGAAATTTCAGTTTACACTGACAAGCTTGAAGTGCAATCGGAGATGTACGCCAGAGCATAATTAGGCACTACCTGAAGGCAAAATTGGAGATTTCACGTGCTGAGTTACCAAAGTACTAGCAAGGACAGCTGCAGAAAGGGGCAATTTGGAGTATGAAATTGATGTCATAGAAACTGAAGAAATTGAGGATTTAAAAAGTGAGAAATGAGGCAAGAGGAACAACAGCAGGCTGTGAATCAGTGCCTGGAGTAACGTGAGGGATGCTGATGGTGAAGCAGGTAGGCATATTTTGTTTCATAAAATATCTGAATGTTATCAAAATTAACACAACAGATCAGCCTCTGCATGTGTGCAAACGGGTCAGTTGCAGAGAAGACTTCTTAGATCCAGCCTGCAGTGTTTTCTAGTCAGATCATCACTTGCCTTCTTTAACTTACTAAAATGTCTCAATTCTATGTTGGATCAGAAAACATTTTGAAGCCGTGGATTCTGTCCAAAAAACAAGCATTTACTTTTTTTGAAGAGGTCAAAACATAGTACAGCCCCAATTTAAATGTGAAGGCTGAACAAAGTCAAGATCACCTCACCTTGCGTGAGGATGCATAATAGTGGCTGTTGGTAGCAGATAAACAGCAGCCCTTTCATCTCCTCTAAGTCTGCCCACAAGCTTCAGAAACCAACACAAAAAGTATAAATTTCCTGAATAATACAGAAGAAGACATGACAAGGCTTGGTACCAGAGTTGCTAAAGAGAACAAGTCCTAAATTACAAGTACTTGCAACTGTCCTTGCTTTTTACCTTACAACGCAGGCATGAATGCTGCCCAAGCCTGTTACAGGAAACACCTGTTGGAGAAAATTCATGTATAAAATTCAGTGTTTGAAAACTGCACAGTTGTGATGTTTTACATCTTATAGAAGGTATATAGTGTAGTATTTTGAGGCATTTACTTCAGAATTACTTTTGAGGCACGCACTTTGTAAACATCAGTCAGTTATTTTATCATAGTTTGATTCTATTTTACAAGATTTTCAAGTCTAAGCCTCATGACAATACTTCATACAAACTATATGTTTATAAACTAACTTCATACAAACTATAAGTTAGAGAGGAAAATAGTTTGGTATAAAATGGCTTCCTCTCTTTGCTTCCCTTGTAATGCCAAAAGAAGGAACAATTTGCAGTCATGGCAGTCTTCAGTATATTTATCATCCCATTCAAAGAGACTCTTAAGAACACTCACAAATTCCAAATGCCAAACCCAGAGAAGTTTTGTTCTGTATATTCTGCCACATCCTCCGGAAATGTACTATAGGGCACACAACTTTATATGAAATCCTGTCCAACTCTATTAAAAAGTTATAGGTGGCATGTAAAGAACAGAATCAGTGCTCTCCTAAAATCCAGCTTCAAATTCATCTCTTTACCCGACTAGAGGGGGTGCAGAACAACAACCACACAGGAACATACAGAGATATGAAGCTGGGTAGTTAGCAACTCCCTGAGAGGCAGTAATTAATACATGTTCTGCCGTGAGTCTTTTCCAAAGTACTCACTCTCTCCACTTTGCCCTGCCCTATGGTAACTAAGCTTTTTGATCTGCGGTAATAAATATCATGGGCTCTCCACATGAGCAGGACAGCCATGGGAGTTAGAGATCTGTCAGATGTTTAAAGATAGAACTGGAAATGCTAATCACATATTCAGATGTTTCCAGAGTAAGCCGCACTTTAAAAACTTCTCTCAGTGATGGAATGTAACAGAAGCTTTTTTTTCCCACAGCTATAATGAGATGTAGGCTGCAACTTCTGACCATATTTAAACTCAGTGTTATATAATATATAGTGATGCAGGTTTTATAATCTCATCACATGCTGACAGAAACCCTCTACCAGGATTGCACTTTGCCAAAAAAGTTGAACATAGTGAAAACCCTCAGAAAACAATTTCTTCACTCGGAGAATGACATCACATCTGTGAATTAAAAGCTTCCAACAATCAGGGGAAGAAAACATTCCTGTGGAACAGCTGTTGCTGCTTCAATATTGCTATACATGAAGACATTCTGGCAGAACACATCAAGGGAAGCTAATCAAGGCTTAGAAAACAGTTGGCTGGGAAAAAAAAGGATGAGAGAGAAAAAGGAGATGAGAGATATCTAAAGATACAGATTATAACATTAAAATCACAAGTATTCTGGATTGGAATAAATCAATCAAGACAAAAGATTCTTCAGTTCTGAAGAAAATAGTCTTATACATGACAGTGCCTTCAATTTCTATGAAGATTTAAAATGTTACAGTAAAAAACATACAAGTTTTAGAAGGGACAAACTCTTGTCTCCTAGGATAAACAAAATGTAAATTAACTGGGGATAGGAAGGAAATATTTCTGCCACAGGCTAATTATTTCAACCCTCCTTACTCTTGGAGGTTGTTTTTAAACTTCAGCAGTTTTTTCAACCATAGATGGGTAGTGGACAAGTCAGATATGCTAATCCTGTTGTCTTAAAAGTATCAGTTTCAGGTTGTTTGTCGCACAAAAATGGAACAGGATATAAACTTGAGTTAACTGTTCTTTGCTCAGTAACAGTGGCTTGCACTGCCACGTGATACATGTACTAGGATGTAAGTATCTGTACTAGTATATGTACATAGTTACTAAGTGCCCGTGAGCCATTGAAATCAGTGGAAAAAAAAGAAATTGCACCTAGTTGATGGCCGAACACTATTTCTGTCACTTCCTTGCAGGCCTAGGCTGCCTGTCTCCTCAGCAAACCAGGCAGTTACTGCCTCATGAGTCACAGCCTTCCTCAGCCTGGCTGCTTGTGCAAACTTGACAGGGGTTATTGACATACAGGTCATCATCACCTGTACATCCAGAGCAAGCTGGAAAAGCATAGCCCAACTAGGCATAGCCCTAAAAGCAACAGTTTTCCAAGAGGGACAGTATCCAGAAAGAGCTGAACAGAGGTGAGAATAGTAGAAAAGCTGCTTCCTGCAAGCTGGTCGGAAATGGAGGCCCTTTCCTCCCGCAATGGTAAAAGCAGCCTGTTTGGAAAAGGAACTGTAGAGCATCCTGGGACACAGGGGAGGAAATCTGAGTCTGCTTAGCTCTGGAAAAAGGGACTATAAGGGGCTAACTTACATTTAAATGTCTCTGCTTCCAAAACTTGGCAGCTGGCTTGATGTTCAAACTGATCATCTTCACAGAGGAAATTGTGGCAAAAAGAACAGGCAAATATTCTGCCTCCTACAAGATTTATCAAGGCAAAATAATCAGTAACAGGCATAGGCACCAAATTCTATTCCACAAACAATTTAGGCAGTTCTGCATAGCTTTAACTAAAGACCATTTCTGCTACAAAATGCTTCAACAGACAGTCCCAAATTAGACATCATTATTACACTGAAAATACCGTGTATCCTAGCAATCCCAGACAGCATAAATATAAAGCAAGCATCGCTTCTGGCAGTTGTATTCATTTTTAATTGAAATATGGCACTGAACATCTTTTAACTGGATGAGATCCTCTATCCATCATCTCTGCTCCTCCTCCCCCCCCCCCACCAGCCTCTCACTTCTGATGTACACTGAAATAAATATTTTAAGGAAATTCCATAAATAGAGATCAGTATCATTTGCCAAGCAAATGGGAATCTGAGTACCCATACTAGTGCAGATGAAAGGAGTGAGAATAGTGGAAAATTATGTTGACTCTCTGATGTGGTGCTTAATTATATGAAGTGCTCAGATGACAGGACAGTTAATATTCTAGGTGACAAAACATCCTGGAGCTGAGCAGTGGATGCTCTTGGGCACATCATTCACCTTCCCCTTTGCAAATGGCTTTTTTCAAAATGGGGAAAATGTCTAGCTTTAACCAGATACAATGTATAGTGAAAAGGAAAGATGTTAAGGACATAGGCATGATAAATGGGGGATTGGGTAGGAGGGCAAGTATAGTTCAGATTCTTTTGTTGAATGAGAGCAACCTACCATGATCCCAGACGCTTCTTTCGCACTCAATACACTCTGCATCTGTAAGGGGGCAGATACACGCGTGTGTGCTGAGACACTTCCTCCCATGACACACCCAAGCTTCACAGAAATCACAAATTGCACCCTGCAATTACAGAAAGAGATGGTTTTAGAACTTCTGCAACACCTAGAGACACTCTTCTTCCATAAGCCTGAGCGTATTCAAGTATTCATTCTCTCAGTAGGTTCTCTCCAGGTGAGCAAGAGAGAATGAAACACATCTGTATTCTAACCAAGCTGTTCCAGTGCTCATTTCAGCACTGGAACACTCATTTCTTTTTGGTATTCACTTCTGCACAATGAAATGTCATCAAAAATAACTTACTTTCCTCCTTTTCCTGTTTTCTGTTTGTTTTTACATTTCATATGTAAAATCTCATGCATGAAAATAGCATCCTCTAGCTGAAGCCTATGAGATTCATAAGTGATAGCAATTATCTGGCAAAAATGAAATTACAACATTTAAAAACAACAACAACAAATACCTTTTTAGATTCTTACAGCAGAAATAATCCACAGCCTTTCCTTTATTCTTAAACTGTAAGAGCTACATATCAACTGTACTGTGCTGTAATGCTACTGTGGTAGCATTTAAGAAGCCTCCTCATCCCATATGTAAGAGATTATCATGTGCTTGCATCTATACACGTGAAACTGGCATAACAATGGTACACCCAAATTAACTGCTAATTAAAACAGTGTTGCAGGTAAAGGCATGGAGGGATTTCAGGAACTCGGGACAGAAAGGGCCAGCTGTGTTACTGAGATCAGGTGACTGCCAAATGGATGGAAGTTTAATCCATAGAGCATTTAATGCAGAGGCTATGATGGGCCATACCTTGCTTAACAGTGCTGAATAACCAGCTTGTCCTTTTAAGAATAAAAAAGGCCAGAAGCAACAATGAAGTGATTCAGTTTTAAATAAAATTATCATCCAATACCACGGAACAGACTGTTCCTGGCAATGCTGAAAGGTCAGCGAGAAAAGCAATTCCACTGTGTTTTATGGGATGATTCTAGATTTTAATGGAGACCAGGAATTAGGTGCATGACATGTAAGCTCCAGTGCTGTTAATGCACATGTTCAAGGCTTGCCACCAATATCCACCTTTTGGTGCCCAGGACATACATAAGAGATTGTGCGAGTCAAATATAAACAAGTTTCCTAGTTTAAGAAAAAAATCAGTTTGTAATGGAGAAAAATCTGGGCCTGATGCATGTTATCATTATTCTATGGGGCCTGTGTGTTTTTTGCTTGTTTAGAAAAATCTGCAAAGAAAACCTCTTAGTACAAAAATGCTAAAACTCTGTATACATACCACCATTGCTAGTCCAGTACTATACACGCCAGCATGTTTTATGACACAATCTGAAGACTTCATCATGCATTTGGTTTTTCCTGTTTAAAAAGTGAGAAGACAACCAGAAGAAGGTTGCATAAAATGAAAATAATTCAGATTGATTATATAAGAGCAGTGATTGGACTAAATACTTTTAATGTATACCCAAGATAAAAATAATGCAAACAAACCACAACATCCTGCAAACCACCCTCACATCTCCCTTAGATCAATTTAATTATTGTCTGTTTTCAGCCAGAATGTCTTGCGTCAGTGCTGATAATCAGACTACGTGTTATTTTGCTATATGTTTTGAGGCATGCTGCACACAGTGCCAGGATTTCAAACGTCAAACCACAGTATGAAATAATGTAGGTCAAAGTCAAACAATGATATTCTGGAAAGCTGTATTTACTACTGCCACTAGTCCCAACATAAAACCATCATGTGCTGTGAGCAAGGCTGAAGTCTTCTGGAAAAAATACAGCTGTACCTATCCTTAAAAAAAAAAAAAGCACATTATGATTTAATTTGATTTAATTATCTAGAGCCACCTGGATACTTAGGGTTTAAAAAATAATATTTAAAAAAAAAAGCATGTAAGGGTTTACTTTCTAGCCTAAATACTCTATAGGCAATGTTCGGGGAAAGAAAAAGCCACAGAGTGTACTTCAAAGCCTTTCAGACACAGGTAGGCAAGTAGAGTGATGATATTCCCCTACCTCTTGCTTCTGATGCGGCTCCACCAGAAAGATCCCTACTCATCCACAGCTGTATGAGCAAAATAACCTGTTTAACTAGCCCAGGTTGTTGCACTAGGGTCATATCAACAGTTTAAGTTGTCCTGACACAAACCCCTTTGTTACTGCTTATGTGAAGGAACCAGCAAGAGCTGCTCCTTGCAAACCCATTCACGAGCTGCCAAAAAACTGTACTCTGAAAAAAGCAGTTAAACCAGAGCAACACGCAGCAGCAGCAGCTGAATCTGGTGTCAGCTTGTCAGATACCCAACAGCAGGAGGAGTGAGGAAGGGCCACTGATGCTCACAGACAAGCAAGGTGAGCTGGCGGGGTCTGCCGCAGCACAGGCCGGCTGCCTTGCTCCCAGCCCTCAGCACCTCTCTAGGGAAGAGGCTGCTGGTGCTGGGGGCTCTCACCAAGGCTTGGTGAAGCATGAGCCGCTCTAATGGTCTTTGTCCTGGCACACAATGGTCTTTGTCCTTATTTTGTGCGTTGTTAGGACTGCTTTTCCCCCCAAAACCTGCTGCAGATTAAGATGCGAGAGTGAGGTTCAGATGTATAATGTATGGGCAACTAGACAATGTCGTTTGAGCAGCTCATTGCATGATGACAGAAGGAAGACTGATGAATGATCAAGCTTTAAAGACTGCCACTGCTTATTAACAGAAGTGCTCAGCAGCTGCAGGTCCCATCAAAGGCCATGGAAGCCGCAAATGTCAGCAGCTCTGAGAGTCAAACTGCAGAAAAGCCTAATTGTGTAATGACAAACTGACCTGCAAGGACGTGTCAAAGCAATAAAATGGTGATACTCATCTCAGAGTATGAAATGACTATTACCCTCCTCTGCTTTTTTAGCCAGATACAGAGCTCAATCCTACTACGTCAAAGTGTCAGCCTTCTAGCACGTGTGAACAACATGAAAAGCACATTATGTAACAAAAACAGGCATGGTGCATAATGAACTGTTGATTTTTAAAGTGATCAGCAGTATCATCCCAAAAATGCAGTTTATTGATTTTAAAAGTCAGTGGAGTCAGTGCCTGTTTAACTCTGCTGCCAGTATGAAGCAATCCCATGCACAGTTGTGTCTGGCCATTCCCTAGACTAAGTGTTCTTAGTCCTAGAAGGCAGGGAGATAACTTCTGAATATCAAACACTGAAAACAAAGCCAGCAGAAACCTCTGGGGTCAGGGGCATATGCACCAGTTTGCACCATAACACAAGAGCCTCTTCCCAAGAAGAAGATTCCCAGCAGGTGTAAGAGAACCCATTCCTGCCATTAGAGGTACTCCAAGGGCTGCAAGTTGAACACCTTGAAGGGGGAGCCCATAACATGTTTTTCCTTTGTCGTTTCCACTTACCACACTGTGCGCAAATGGGTAATTTCTGAACTGAGTTGCAGAAGTAGCAGAAAGCTCTGTTCTTCTGTCGTCTAGGCGCATGGAGGGGAAAAAAACACCAAAGGGCATTAAATGACCTATAAAATGCTTGAAATCAATGAATACTATACTGTTGGCTTTAGAAGGGTAAAATAAAGTTACTCACCTTTGGCACTTATCACATTCCTAAAAAAGAGAAATAAAATACTGATGATTACTCTATGTAAAACATACAAAACTTACAGACTCCATAGTGACTCAGAATTAAACTGATTAGATAACGAACTTTTTACTGAAGCATTACACCTCTGATGTTAATGTAACCTTTAACAGAAAAGAAGAGCATTCTAATGGCCTTAAAGTACAGCCAATGTATCATTATCACAGACTTGACATCATTTAAAAATCATTTAGTATAAAATATTTTAGGTTATTTTACCATTGAGGCATTACAAGGATGTTTGGCTAAATCTATGGTTGCTCTTGAAGCCCTTATCTGCTTTTCACGTTCACGACGATTCTCTGCCTTCTTTCGAGCACCAGTCTTCTTTTTAGGCATTTTGTACTTCCTGAAGGGAAGGAAATAAAAGTACATAAGAACATATATGTAAACACAGGGAAATGCATGATACATCAAGCACCAAAACTGCATTTGGAGTTCCCACCTGTTAACTATGTTTCAACTCCATTAATCTCATTTTCTGACAGTTTTCTTTTCAAATATAGAATACGGGTCCATGACAAAAAGAAAAAAACAGGAATCCTGTGACCCCCTCCAGAAAGGACTGTGCTGCCCTCCAGTTTGTTCTTGCCTGTATCTGGAATGTTTTGCCTGTAAAACAATGTTATCCAAAGGGTTCTTTGTGCTGGGCCTTCTGTCTCCAGTTTGCCTTGTTGTCTATTTACTAGAACAATATTCAGCTCCCTTTCACTTCTTTCTCCTCTCCTGTGCAGTAATGTTATTCAATCAGTGAAAAGGCACTCCTCAGGAAAAAAGAATGCACATTTCACACCTCAGGAAGGTGCAGAAAACAAAATGCCTTTGTCACAGACTTAAGAGCTACGCCAAAGGGATGCCTGTACTGCCTCTTTATTGTTCCAGCACATTAGCACCAGTGAAGCGCAGAGCAGGCTCTGCTTTTGAAGGTGCCACTGTTTCCCAAGAGGAGTTTTACTAATCTAATTCATTGGGTTCAGTGTGTGTGTGTGTCAGCATTCTAGGAGTGAACTAACGTAATTCAGTGGCAAGGCTGCCAGGCCATCAGACCCAACGCTCTGTTGTCATCTCTGCAGTGAACCCGGCAAGTCTCACAAAAGCTTAGCTTGCTCTCACAGTGCCCTGTTACATCAAACAAGTATTACCCTGGCTTCATGAAACGGTCAATGAGGGACTAAAGCTGTGGTCTGATGTCACATTTTGTCTTCAACAAAGGCATTTTAGATAGCTCTCCTTCATTATACTCAGTCTTTATCACCCTCTCATTTCTGCCAATCTAACTGTTGTTGGTACCATATTCTAAACCAGATCTGGGTTGCTTATTAAAAAAATATATAGTTGTAAGGCACATTCCCAAGTTTGTAGCAGGGATGCACGTGTTTCTTCACACCAACAACCGAACTGTCCTTCCTTCCAGATGATATTGTGACTGGATTTTCAGACACACCTACCTCCTATCTGGAACTAAAGCATTTATGCATTGCCAACCTGGCCTGTTTAGCACATTGCCCCACTGTATGTTGCAATTGCAACTAATCCACAATTCCTCCAGCTACAAGTACACTCAGAAGTACTCCTTGATCCACCTCTGATTTCCAAGACCCCAGAAACATAATTTCAAACAACCACTAATGGGAGAGCTGACTGCCATTTCACCACCTCAGTCTCCATGATGCCCCTCACAGAGAAACACTCCAGCTTTGGGGCTTGGCACAAAAGGGCCCAGGCGAAAGGACAACTTTGCCCAAGCGAAGCTCTCCTGATGCCAGCAGGACTTGGGATGTTCCTGGGGCCACTGGTGCCAGCGGGAACCAGCAGCATTGGTGCCTCCACCTTCAAAACAGACCACCTTATTCCCTTCCCTAATGCTAAGCGTTAGGGGTGCATGCTGTCATCTCTGCGGAGAGCAACAGCACCAACGTGTAGCAAACTACAGTGCCATAAATTTGGAAGAAAAATCACCATCATTTTTTAAAGCTCTTATAAAACAAACCCCACAATCTTAACTTCCCCAAACACAGAAATTTATCGTCTTGACCAAATATTAAAATTTGTTTTTGATAGTGCACATAAATCAGTTTGTTCGCCCTGTAGCATTTCACATCATGTTTAAATTGCATTAGTGTCACATTTGCAGTCAAAATTGTATTGCTTAGAGGCCTGCTGGCAACTATCATTATTCTAGAGTGTGACATTTCTGACTCTGGGATATGAGGTTGCAGACTAATTTTCAAACTGCTTAAATGCTGATTTAACAGCAGAATCTAATGGTTAGTATTTATACTGTGACTTTCTCACATTACTTCATAAGTCAAGGTGCTGAAATGACAATCTGTTTTGTTGAAAAACATTCTCAGTGACTACTGAGGACACAAATTATGAGAAATGTCTAAGATAGTAGTTTTTAGAAAGTAGCATTGAATAAAACAACAGAAATGTAGTACGAGGTTCTTTTAACAAAGCTATCAAGCCACTCCAGACATTCAAATATCCAATGAACGATAGCACCCAATATTTTATCATTCTTTCCCTGTGATCTTCCACTTCAGATGTCTGTTGTCTTTGCCCTATATCATAAATCCTTAGGGAATGGGCTGTTTTCTAATTTTCTGAACAGGTCTTGACAGTGCTAAGGTAAGAGAAATTATGACAGTAAAACTTTATTCACCTGCAATCCCTCTCCAATCAGGATATCACAACCTTTAACAAGCACTCATCAGTATTTTAAATACCTACACAGTATGTTCCTGCATGGCCACTTTGCAGCAGCAAATGTACGTGGGCATCACGACTAAGCGCTAAACAAGAAACATAATGTGCTTGTTTAGAGTCCTACTCTCCTGTAGGTTGTAGAGGAAAGAAGAGGACCCCGCAAGTGACCTAAAGCAACATGTCTGCAGGGTGGTATGTCCTACATACAGGGAGCTCCTCTGCTTGGGATCTGCAGGGCGGAAAGTGTCTTATGAACCTTCTGCTGGCGGCAGAGCCCGCCAGGGCCGCGGGGCTCCCCGCTCCCTTGCAGCCAAGGCTCTCCAGCCTCGGCAGCGGCGCTCGCCGCGACAGGCGGTGAGCCCCGCG